AAAAAATACTGATAAACTCGCTCAAAAAGGGACAAATACATATTAATTTCCAATGTCGTATAATAAATAGCTTATTTGGGTTTTTCCCGTAATACGGGCTGATATTTTACTCGTTACTCGTATTTTTCCTCGTCCCTACGGGACTCGGGAAAACACACTCGCAACTCCTAAAATATCAGCCCGTATTAGGGGAAAAAACCCAAATAAGATATAATAATAGGTCGAAAATAAGTTTTCGTATTATTTAGTGTTAGTATGTTTTTGCATTCTAAAGAAAGGTAAAACATATTTCAGTTTCTTTTTTTATATACCTTTACCACTGCATGTTGTAAAGTGGTAAAATTCGTAATTGTCACTAACGTTCTTGCCTTTCAAYTTATTATATTTCACAGATTGCTTCTGCTACACATTCAATATATATATAAATTAGGTTGGAGAGAGAGTCGAGGTGAGTGCAGAAAAGATGGAGGTGACTTGGTTACCATGGAAACAGAAGAGAAATGGAAATTCGTTAATTCAAAGATTCAAGGAATCGATAAGTATCCCAATGAATGGTACATTGGCCTGAAAAAAGAAGGAGGAGAATGGAAATGGGTGAACGACCAAAGACTTTCAATAAACAAGTGGCAAAGACATGAACCAAACCGTGATGGGGAATGTGTGGCTATGGCTAAGAACTATCCACCCGGAACACAAGGACTATTTAAAGACATCGTTTGTTTACAACCATTTATGCATGTGTGTGAGTACAGGAAAGGTACGTAGCCAGTTACATGCACTTGTCCAGTAAAGATAATCTGATAAGCAATATATATATTCGAACTTCGAAAGCGTTTTTTGTGCTGGTTTCTAATGAAACAAGCAAACCCAAAATTATAGTGGAATATTATTATCATGGTCACTAAACTTCTAGAGGCCACCACATCAAGAAAATATTGGCTTAATCTAATGTTTCGAGAACCGTTAAATCAAAATTAATGTAAAAGTTGCAGCTTGAGTAGCAGAAACGTATATTGGAGTTGAAAAGCGTGAGAGTAGAGGTTATCTTGAAACCAAACTTTATTCCAAATACGGTATAAAAATTTATTTAAAATATCAAAATTAGTAATTTGCTTATCTGAATATTCCGGAGCATAGTTATAGTGTTACACGTTTCAACCCCCTTTCAAGTTTCTCACAATATTGATATTTTGCTGATTTTCTAATGCTCAAATAAATAAAGGCCTGGTCAACAGGCGCGGAAGGGAGAGATTTTATTGGGTCCAGGTCCATGAATCCAGCCTAATACACAGGATGTCTTAAATGTGAAAAAAAGCATCTCTGACTCGTTTCTTGGGTAAACTCCAAACTCAAACTTTCAGTTTTGTTAATTGTCACAACAAAAGACGATAGCTATACCAAGATGTATTGTCATTATGATCACTTTACAGCCTTCTGATAAATTATACGCGGACTTGAGTATGTTCTGTTATATCATGTAGTTTATGCTACATACTCGAAGAGCCCGCTGTTAATCTATCTCATTGCTACTGTTTTTTTCCCCAAGGAAATCCAAGATGCAAGGACGGTTATTATCCACCTCGCTGTAACGAAACAAATCTGGGGCCCACTCCTGCAGAACCTACCAAAACTACCACCTTCAAGAAACAGAGAACAAATCAATCAAGTAAGCAATGTCTGTCAATTTTGTTTGCTTCATTAGGATACCTTATCCCAACAACATTCTGAATTCCTTTACACTGGCAGTCGTTAAGTTGTTGCAGTTGATGCTGCTCATGTTGCTGTTACTTTTGTTGTCGTAGTTGCTGCCGTTGTCATTGCTGTTGTTTTGTTGTTATCGTTGTTTAGTGCTATGAGCGTTATCACTGTCATTACGGTGTTGGTTAAGCCTTGTTCTCACTAGCGACACAAGCTGAAGTAAGCATAAGCACAAGCGCAAGCTAAGGCAAGAAAAACGGAATATTCCATCCTCTTGCGCTTGGACTTGTCTCTAGTGAGAACCAGGCTTTATACTAAAACTAAAACAGTGTGAAACTCAATACCCTAATATTTCATCATGATCTCAAATACAATCATTCATAAAAGCCGGACAGTGTGATAGAAATTTTACGGTGTCAGTTTGAAAAGGTATTTAGTGTAATTTATCAAGAGTAGGCATCATAAAGAAAGTAGTAGCAGGCTGGCCAAAAAGCGTAGTAGAAAATCTCCACTACTCTTTCCTTTTCCAGCTCTTTATGCATTCCATGCTCAATTTAGGTGATGTTAATGACTGCATTGTTACAGAGTCCAGTTCATAAAGGTAGGCAAAAGTATTTCTTAAATCAAAAGATCATTTTCAAATTTCACTAAATACGTTTATGTTTTTTGATTACAGACTCATATATTCACAGGGTTAGCCTCATTTCGACGTGAGAATATTCAAAACTGACCAACGGTTAAGTAATGAATGCACAACTTCAACAATACAAACACTTTGAAATTCTACGGACCTTCAATGAAACACATGAATATTCTACACAAAATCGAGGCTAACCCTGAGAAATAGAGAACTCGAAACTGGAGCGTTGATGGTACCCATTAACCTTTGCAAAATTAAGCTGCAAAATAATTTCCTATCCTTTGCATTGTAGAAAATGGCTCTATGGATAAAGGTGGTTTTTGTGGTAAGTAGAGCAAAGAAGTTGCTAGAGTACCTATCATTGAATGAAATGATTATAATGTACATTGGTAATCAATAACGATACATTGGATCGAAAGTGCTTTCAACTTAAGAAACAAAATTTTATTATGGTGTTCTCCATATATGTCTCTATTTATGCATGAAAATGGTGCTGTTTCATAATTTAGAAGTAAAAAGAAAATAGCTAAGTCTTGCGCTGTCGTCGCCTATTGATATTAATGTGCCAACCAGAGAGCTATTGGCTACAGAAACAAAGAGATCTTTAATTAGTTCTAATGCTTGGCAAATTTGATTGAGAAAAGATTCCTGACGTGAATGTTTTCAAACAGCGGTGAATATCGCTATGAGCGAAAGCTACATTTGTAACTTAGCACGAGACACCATGTAGATTTGCAAAGCATCTAATAATTTCTTTCCAAATAAAAAGTGATAGATAGGCAAAAATGAAACATTTATACCGTCGACAAATTCCCTGGGTAGTGATTGGCTATGGAAACCACTGTTATCCCTACAATATTAATAACATTTATGTGCTTAAGGAAGCCTCCAAATCAATATTCAATCACTGTTCAGTGCGGGAGGATATGTATTGTGTATTTTAAATGATGTTTATCCTACTCTATTGCATTCTTTCGTTGGTATTATGGAGGCCTAGGGTTTTATCGAGAAACTAGCTTCGTCCACTTTAGGGTTTTAAATGATCTCAGTAGTTGGCATGTAGGTTCCTCTATTTTCTTTGTCCCTCTTTGTGTAAGCTTTGATTAATACATAGCAAACTGAAGCCATGATTGCTGCCAAGTCTAATTTCCTAGTGTGATGAACATTATGTTTCATCCCTCTTTTCTCGGACAATAACTACGAAAGAATGGCCAAGCGGAAGTACAACTGCTGCCAGTTTAGTAACCTGTAGTGTTGTGATTCTTCCTTCAGTTGAAATATAATAATTATAATAAATATAAAAATAAAAACCTTGTTTTTCACCGATTGCTTTTTTCAAAGCTTAATCGAAAATAGAAAACATAAGATTGAGAGCGAAAGGTTTGTTTCGAAGCAAAATCCCATAATCCATTCTCACTTATCAACAGATTGCTTCAACAAGAAAAGAAAAGAAGAACCTGTCTTACTGTTTCCTTGTGGTGTTCTCACCATCCAAGTCCGAGAGATATGGCATTTGAGTTACTAAAACTGTCTTTCCAGATTTTGATGTTTTTTAGGATATTGTGGCTTTCCTCTAGTACGACAGGTAAGTAGTAACTTCAAATTGTCAACGCTGTCTGTCAATTATGATGCTCATTGCGCACGTTGTGTTAGAAATGAATATGATTTCAAATTCGGTATGGCCTTAATAACATAAATGTTTCACATCAAAAAAGTGCATTTGATACCCTATTTAATATATCGACATTAGTTTTCGTATTATTTATCCAGTTTTAGTACATGTTTTTACATCCTAAAGAAAGGTAAAACATATTCCAGTTCTTTATACTTCCCTTTAAGATAATAGTCGCGACTTAGAAATCGGGCCAAATACACTATCGTAAATAAAATCAAACATTAGAGTACATAAAGGTACATAGGGTCGTAAGAAGGTACATGGCAAACTACTCTAACGATTAATTTAAAATTCATTGACGGTAGTCTATTTCCCGATTCTCATGTCCATGTCGAGACTATTAGCGACCTTAAGATTTGCAGAAAACTCAGTGTAAATAACTTCACTTTGTGGTGTCGTGCCTTCAA